AAGTTTTTTTTTGTCATAGAAGTTAGTTAAAAAAATAACTTCTGGGGAGAATATCCCAGACAAAAAAACAGTAAAGAAAGCCTTAAAATCGATCGATCGACTTTATGATACCCTACACTACTTTACGAATTTATTAGAGCTCCGCATAAAAATTAAAAATTTTTATGGGAGAATTGAATCATGCACGCTATGATTATAATTGTAATTTAAAGTTCAAAGGACTATATATGCCGAATTCGGACTAGCTTTGCCCATTTGGTGTACAATTAATTTAAAATCGGATAAAGATATATATGGGAGCTATATCCAAATCGGAACCGATTTCAATAAAATTTGGCAAAGATATTTCTAAGCTTTATTTGATATATTTCCCTGAAAATCGTTGTTACGGAGTGCATATGACCACTGTGGATAACCAATATAACAAATCGGATGAACAGTATATATGGGAGCTATTGCAATATCTGAACCGATCTTCGCCAAATTTGACATACTAGCTTCTAGACTCAATTCGGTCAAATATTAGACGTTTGGTGCACAATAAAACGTAAATCGATCGAAGTTGTATATGGGAGCTATATCCAAATCTGAACCGATCTCGATAAAATTTGGCATACTTATTTTCAGGCCTAATTTAGTTGTATTCGGGCTGATATTACACGTTTGGTGCACAATAAAAAGCAAATCGGACGAAGATATATATGGGAGCTATATCTAAATTTTGACCGATTATCTTCAATTTCAATAGGGTTTGTCCTTGGGCCAAACAAATGATTTGTGCAAAATTTCATCTGGATAGGGCAAGAAATGCGAAATGTACTTTGTTTACAAAAATACATGGACAGGCGGACGGACGGACGGACATGCATAAATCAACTCAGAATGTGATTCTATGCAGATCATCAGAAGGAACTATGGGTCTATCTCGTTTCCTTTTGCCTGTTATGCACAGAGGCATAATGCTCTGACCACCTCGTGGTGTAGGGTATAAAAACCCTAGCAAAATACCTCTCAAATGATACCCCTTATATGGGATCTATATGAAGATGTGTTGCTTCATAATTACAAACGGAATGACAAAGTTAATATACCTTCCATATGGTGAAAGGTATAAAAAGGTCGCAATCGCTTTTATCGACAGATAAAATGTTCGATTATTTAAATATATTTTGACTACTCTTATGATTATTGAAATTGTGGACCCTCTATAACGTAGGTTTCGAAGGAATGGGCCAATATTGTTCATTTCGTATTGGACCTAAATGTAAAATAAATATTGCAACATACCAGGTTAGGGCTATATTAGTTAATCCCCTCATCGTATATGAGATATGTGACAATTTTTAGAAAATTTCAAAATGTGCGTGAGGTACTGGATATAGTCGACCGAAGTATTCAATTTTTTACTTCATCTAAAGAAGAAGAAAATCGAACATTTATATCCACCCTTGTGCGAAATTATGAATTCCGTATTCATCCCAGGTTTCTGGTTGAGAGAAATGTTTAGATATTGCAAATTGTAAAGAATCGGTGACTTGTTTCGCAAGTTATGACAAATAAAAAAATTTAAAATGTTGTCGCTTTGTGGGTGAGGTACAGGAAGGGGTTCGCAGATATATATCATCTTCACAACAGATCTTCTGTTAACAAAAATGTTTGTATGCGTGAAATTTGTCCCTTTGTGGGTGAGGTACAGGAAGGGGTTCGCAGATATATATCATCTTCACAACAGATCTTCTGTTAACAAAAATGTTTGTATGCGTTAAATCTGAAGAGATTTGAATGCTTATTTCGCTTTCTTTGAGCGTTTTGATTTTAAAATTCTTGAACCCTATGTGGGGGTGGTACCAGATGGAATGATCCGATCTCTACCATCTTTATAACAGATCTTGTGTTGATGAAAATATTGAGATTTTCCAAGTCTGAAAGGAATCGGATGTTAATTTTACGTTTTATGAGATTCATGGGTATTCAAAATTTTGTGCCTTTATGGGAGAGGTAGCAAAAGAAGTGGATTGATATATATCATCTTCACACCAAACCTTGAATTAGTAGAAGTAATGTGACGAGTGTAATATGAAGAGAATTTTACGATTGTTTTGGTTATTCAAAACTTTGACCTTTTGTGGGGAAGGTACCAGAAGGAATGGTCCGATCTTTACCATCTTTATAAAAGATCTTGTGTTGACGGAAGCATTGAGATGTGCCAAGTCTGAATGGAATGGGATGTTAATTCCGTGTTTTATGAGCTTAACGGATATTTAAAATTTCGACCTTTTGTAGGGGAGATGCCAGAAGGAGTGGACTGATATATTCCATCTCAGCGCCAGATCTTGAGTTTATAAAATTATTGGGATATAGGAAATTTTAAGACAATCCGATTCTTACATCACATTTTATAAGAGTTATAATTATTCAAATTTTTAAACCTTTGTGGGGGGAGCACTTGATGGAGTGGACCGATATTATCCATTTTTGCACCTGACCGAGAAGTGAGGCAAATATTATGATTTGCAAAGTTGGAGCAAAATCGGATAATAGCTTCTCTTTCTGTGCATAAAATATATATTTTATAAATTCGACCTTTTGTGGGGGAGGTACCAGAATGAGTAGACCGATGTTTTCCATCTTGGCACCAGACCTTGGGTTCATAAAATTATTGGGATATGTGGAATTTGAAGACAATCGGAATCTCACATAACATTTTATAAGAGTTGTAATTATTCATTATTTTGACCATATGTGGGGGAGGTACTTGATGGAGTAGACCGAGATTGTCCATTTTCGCACCTGTCCTAGAACTGACGCAAATAATAGAATTTGCAAATTTGGAGCAAAATCGGATTATCTTTTCTTTCTTTTTTGTGCAGAAAATGTATATTTTGAAAGTTTCGATCTTTTGTGGGGGAGGTACCAGAAGGAGTGAACCGATATATTCCATCCTTACACCAGACCCTGTGTTAATAAAAATATTTGGATGTGTGAAATTTGAAGACAATCGGAATCTCACATAACATTTTATAAGAGTTGTAATTATTCATAATTTTGACCCTTTGTGGGGGAGGTACTTGATGGAGTAGACCGAGATTGTCCATTTTCGCACCTGTCCTAGAACTGACGCAAATAATAGAATTTGCAAAGTTGGAGCAAAATCGGATTATCTTTTCTCTTTTTTGTGCAGAAAATGTATCTTTTGAAAGTTTCGATCTTTTGTGGGGGAGGTACCAGAAGGAGTGGACCGATATATTCCATCCTTACACCAGGTCCTGCGTTAATAAAAATATTGGGATGTGTGAAATTTGAAGACAATCGGAATCTCACATAACATTTTATAAGAGTTATAATTATTCATAATTTTGACCCTTTGTGGGGGAGGTACTTGATGGAGTAGACCGAGATTGTCCATTTTCGCACCTGTCCCAGAACTGACGCAAATAATAGGATTTGCAAGGTAGGAGCAAAATCGGATTATCGTTTCTCTTTCTGTGTGGAGAATTATAGTTTTTGAAAATTTCGAACTTTTGGGGGAGGTGCCAGAAGCAGTGGACCGATATTACCCATTTCCGAACTCGATCAAATATTACGATGGATCAAGTTTGGATAAAATGGGATACTTCCTTCGAGAGTTATCGTGTGCACCAGCCAGCCAGCCAGACAGACGGACATCGTTAGATCGACTCCAAATGTCCTGAAACGGATTTGGTCCAAAGCGACGTAGGGTCTAAAACCGTTTTTCGATTAGGCACGTTTTGACCATATCAAATGATATATACCCTCTCTATCCATATGGCTGAGGGTATAAAAAGAGACCAGGTCGAGTACTTCAGAAAAAGATGGCCATATTCCAATTTGCCATGAAAAAATCGTTAGAATTTCGAAAGCTTAAAACTCGATCGAGGATACTTGACAGTTACTCTTTACTTAATATCAATTATACTCAAAGTTACTCAATTCTGTCTGTGAAAATATTTCGGAACAAATTCATTGATTTTAGGAAACAAAAATTAACTTATTTTTAAGAACTTTACGCTAAATCCGCAAAAAAATCACATCAAAATACAATGTCTATTGCTTATCATGCTATCTCTGGTAATATTGTTCCTCCTCTAATTAGAAGGTGGTCTTGATTACAATGCTGCTGATGTCCATTCATCTCATCAGCACTTGGTCATACACACACGCACCCGCTCCTTACAACACATACTCTGACATAGAAATTATAAAATCGTTTTCATTTAACCTCTTAAATGAAGTCAAGTGAATTTTCAATTTGCTGCTTCAACACCCCTCCACCTCCGACGACGACTTGGGCGTTTTAACCCCAGGAACGTGTACACCATGAGCCCATATTAAAACTGGCAAAACTTATTCCATTGTTATGGCTGTTGTTGTCATATTCTATGTACAAGTGTTCATCCTCCTGCTGCTGGTCTTGTTCATTGGAGACCAGTAGTAGGTCATTGCCGGAAGGTCTAATGTCATATGCATAGTATTGGTGCTGGGGATGTTGATGATGATGATGCTGTTGCTGCGGCTGCTGCATTTGATGTAGGTAAGAATGAAATTGGGGACGTGGAGGTGAAGCCGCCACCAACGGCGCCGGAATTAATGGCAATCGCAATGTTGATGATGACGCTGTTGCTCCTCCTGCAGATGACAGCAAATTGAGTTCATTTAAATATCTAACATTTATATTCGGATGTTGATGAAGATGATGAGTAGCCGGTGGAGCATGTTGCTGCTGACATTGCTGGCGATTGCTGTCGTATGCTGGTCGATTACTAAAACTGGTCGTTGTTTGAGTGCCATGATTGATGATGGCCGTGGTGGGGGTTTTGGAAATGTCGGTGGTGGCGGTGGTCCTTCTGCTTTCATAATCACGCTTTCCCTTATTGACTTTGAATGAGAATTTTTTGGCTTTCTTTGTGCTGACGGCAGTTGTGTCGCCACAACTGTCCTTCTCTGCAGCTGGTTGTGACTTCGTCAACTTCGTCGTTGTTGTTGTGGCGGGTGTTGCGGTGATACTCTTGGTCGCCAAATCGGATTGACATTTTAAAGCCAGCTATGCTGACACATAATATTCTCGTTGACGCTTTTGACATTTTTCGCGTGCAATGTAGCACAGGGCAATGGTGATCAATAGGGCAATGGTTATGCCCATGCCAATGCTAACCCACATAATCTCCTCATTGATGCCAACATATGAGCGGCCTAAAGAAAATGAAAAAAAAAAAATAAGAAGAAGAAAAAGAAGAAATTAGTTGTTGGATTTTTTTGCGTTTTGAGTTGAAGAAATTTTCTGGCTCAGAATTGGATATATGCTGGTAATATGGTAAAAAAGGATTTAAAATGGAAAATTATTAAGCTTAAAGAGAGAGAGAGAGAGTTTTTATTCAATGTCATATACTCACGGCGAATAGGATATTTAAGGACCATTTACTTTTGCTAAACTGGGATCCCTTTTGGTGTCTTTCTTCAATGAGTGGTTGTAATGAAACTAAAAATTTATTTTAAAACCAGTAAGGAAAAGTCGGGCGGGGCCGACTACATAATATCCTACACAACTATGCATATTTAGTAGAGCTCCCGCAACAAAAATAATTTATTTGAAGTAGATCATACTACCTATCACCATTTGGTTTTAGAGCAGTTACTGTTTCGTTTCAGAGCGAACTAAAATATGGCAGGCATATCCAATTCTGAGACGGAGACATTTTTACACCCAATAACATTGCTATAGAGTGTATGATACCACTTCAAGGATTATATTGAAAAAATACAACTCGGAGCGGAATTCCACCAAATGGAATCGTACGCCCCGAAATTTAACCAATTAGGCTGATATTAATCATTATTTGCACAATAAACCTGAAATCGGAGAAAGGATATATATTGCAGCTAGATCCAAATCTTAGCCGATTTCGATAAAATTTGGCAAAGGTATTTCCGAACTCTATAAATCGACTCAGAAAGTGAGTGTATGGATATCCTCAAAAGTAACTAAGGGTCTAACTGGCTTCCTTCCTCATGTTACAAACAAATTCTCAAAAACATAATACCCTTACCACTATGTGGTTTAGGGTATAAAAACTTAAAACAAACAAGCTTGATATTTATCACTACCCCACAATTACCTTCCATTCTTGACCCTTTAGTTCAAATATAATAGAGTTTTTAAAGGCCCCCAAGAAGCCCATACACTCACATATACCTAATCTCCTCTCTCACAAACAAAATTTAGCACGGATATTATCTATACCCTCAACCATGTGGCTACAGAGGGTATATATCGTTTGATACGGCCAAAACGTGCCTGATCGAAATAACAGTTCTAGACCCTAGGTCTCTTTGGCCAAATCCGTTTCATGACATTTGAAGTCGATCTAGCGATGTCCGTCCGTCTGTCTGTCTGGCTGGTACACACGATAACTCTCGAAGGGAGTATCCTATTTGATCCAAACTTGGTACATCGTAATATCATTATCAAACTTACCTCGAGTTCGAAGAATGGCAATATCGGCCCACTCCTTCCGGTACCTCCCCCACAAAATTTCAAGATTTTCAAAAAAAAAAAAAATAATAATAATATATAAACAAGTAAAAAAGCTGTAAGTTCGGCCGGGCCGAACTTTTAATACCCTCCACCATTTGGTACAAATTTGGCAATTTCCAAAAAAAAAACAACCGTTAAAAATTCTGTTAAAATCTTAAAAATACCGAATGCTTATACGACGACGTGGGCCTGCATAGGCAACTTCATAAACTATTACAATATTTAAATGCGAAACTTGAAGAAAAATCTGTTTATAATGTAGCTAAAATCGTCAAAATACCGAATATGAGGGTACCGTTATATGGGGGCTATACGAAGACGTGGACCTGCACAGACAATTTTCTGGCATGGGCTGAAGTATCCATTACGAACTTCACATACGAAATTTGAAACAATCCCTGTAAATAATGTCGCTAAAATCATTAAAATACCGAATATCGGGGGGTACCGTTATATGGGGGCTATATGAAGACGTGGACTTACATGGCTCATTCTTTGACTTTGGATGAAGTATCCATTACGAACTTCAAATACCAAATTTGAAACGATTTCGGTAAACAATGTCGCTAAAATCATAAAAAAACCGAATATCGGGGGTACCGTTATATGGGGGCTACAGGAAGACGTGGACCTACATGGCTCATTTTTTGATTTAGGATGTAGTATCCATTACGAACTTCAAATACCAAATTTGAAACGATTTCGGTAAACAATGTCGCTAAAATCATCAAAAAACCGAATATCGGGGGTACCGTTATATGGGGGCTACAGGAAGACGTGGACCTGCACAGATAATTTTCTGTCTTAGGCTGTAGCATCCATTACAAACTTCAAATGCCAAATTTGAAATAATTCCGGTGAATAATGTCGCTAAAATCATCAAAATACCGAATATCGGGAGGTACCGTTATATGGGGGCTATATGATAACTTGGACCTACATGGCCCATTTACGAACTTAACCTGCCTACTGGGAAAAAATACATGTGTGCAAACTTTTAGCCTTCTATCTCAATTTGTTCGAAAGATAGCGTGATTACAACAGACAGACAGACAGACAGACAGACAGACGGACATGGCTAAATCGTCTTAGAATTTTACGCTGATCAAGAATATATATACTTTGTTGGGTCTGACATGAATATTTCGAGGAGTTACAAACGGAAGGACAAAATTAATATACCCTCCATAGTATGGTGGAGGGTATAAAAATATACATAAGATGAAAAAACTGCTGCCAACTTCAGACTGCTGTCATTTCTAAGCCACTCGTCCGAGAGCTGTTAAAATTATTCCGGTGACAGCTAATTATATTGTTTTCAAGCGTATAAAAGCATTTTGGTGGGAATTTTCCAGAAAAAAATTATTCGTTATGGAATTCAAGCGTGATAGTGCGATTTCTTTATATTTGGCTGGAAAACCACAAGTGGCTACCGTTAGAGCACTCCAGCATTTAAATGTGAATAAATTTTTTGTGTCTCGTATCATCGCTCGTTACCGTGATACTGGTAGCGTAGCTCGACGTCAAGGAAGTGGACGAGAGACAACAGGAACATCAGCAGAAATGTTTCGAAAAGTAAAGAAACGACTTGATCGAAACCTGCGTCGCAGTGGTTGAAAAAAGGCTTGTGAGCTGAATATATCGCAATATTCCATTTGGCAAATATTGAAAAATGAGCTCGGGGTAAATCCAATGTAATTCCAAGAAGTACAAGAAATTACACCGCAACGGAAAGAAAATAGACTCAAAAGAGCTAAAGAGTTGCTTCGCTTGGCCGACTGTGTTGATCTGCCGAATTTGGATTTCTCCGATGAGAAAACATTCGTTGTCAAGCAGTTTGTAAACAAACAAAATGATCGTGTTTACTTGCCAAAGAGGTCAGCTGAAAATGCAGTGCACCTTCGGTTGGCCTCCAGAACTCAAGCACCGGCCATGGTGATGGTGTGAACCGTGGCATCACGAATAAATGCCGAATATTGTCGCGAAAATATCCTGAAGGGTGTATTAAAGCCTTGGCAACGCAAACATTTTGACCGCAGACCTTGGACATTCAACAGGACTCAGCACCATCGCACTCAGCACGCGCCACCCAAGAATTGTTGCAAAATGAGGTTTCCCGCTTCATTTCCAGCGCACAATGGCCACCAAAATCTCCAGGTACCAATCCGTTGGACTATTGTGTCTGGAGTATTTTGGAAAGCAAGGTTGGCACTAAAAAATACCAAAGTGTCGATCACCTCAAGCTAGCGCTTCGCCGGGAATGGGCCAAAATACCGCAGAGCAACATTGAGCAGCCTGTGACGCGTTCATTGGCCGTTTGAAGGCCATAATTCATGGCAAAGGTGACCAATTCGAACAAATCTAAACTTATTCTAAAATTTGATGCTATTTCCGAAATTTTTTGCCTTCATTTAATAAATTTAAAAAAAAATAATTAAAAATTATGACGTTTGACTTTGTGGCAGTTTTTTATCTCACCCTTTGGAGGTAAGGCTATTATGTCTTTGTGCATTTGTTTGTAACATGGGGAAGGTAGCGAGATAGACCCATATTTACTTTTGAGGATCTTCATTGAATCACTTTCCGAATCGATTTATGCATGTCAGTCCGTCTGTCCATGTATTCTTGTGAACCAAAAGCAGGACGCATTTATTATCCGATTGAGATGAACATTTCTAAACAATATTTTTTTTGGTCCAAGGACGAAACCTATAAAAATTCGTGATAATCGGTTAAGATTTGCATGTTACTCCCATATAAACCTTCAACATATTTCAGGTTAATTGTGCACCAAATGGCCAATATCAGTTCAAATGACCTGCATTTTGGCACATCCGACTGAATTCAGTACAGAAGCAAGTCCGTCAAATTTGATAAAAATCGGTTTAGATATAGCTTTAGCTTTCATATATAAGTTTCATCCGATTTTGGGTTTTAAGTCCCTCACAAAAATGATATTGGGTACCAGATATCTTATAGAGCTCGGAAATAACTATGCCAAATTTTAGCGAGATCGTCTTTGGATATTGGATATAGCTCCCATATATATCCTTAATACTATTCACCATAATATATAATTGTGTAATTTTTTTAATATTCGAAGTTAAAAAAAAATCTGTATCTTCAGCTTCACCTGATGCAATTTTCATCTTAGAAGTAGTGCAAGCAATATCATGTAAATCACCCTTTCAATGCCTTAGGCTTGGCCATAACACGAGAATCATTTATAATTGACAAGGAAATTACAAGTGGTGCGATATCAGTTTTTTTCCCTCATTTTCCATCAAATGATGCAGACGATACTAATATAAATAGGCCATGTGGGCCAATAGTTGTCATCATAAGTTGGACAGCTTCGTCTGGAAAACATTTCGAAACATCAAAAAAGCAAAACAAAAAAATAGTATAGTTCACGCCATGAAAGTTTGTAAGTATTTGCAAAATATTGAAAAAAAAATAACCATTTAAACGATTCTCGATCTCCTCCTTTCCAAATATTAGACTATTTATTAGTATTTGCGACCATAGTGGGTCCCCAACTAATTGGGGGTCATAGCCCTGTTTTTGGTCTCAATTATCCTGTGAAAAGATCGCCAGTTGATTGTTCCTCTTGCGAGGATGGCGAACTCGTAGCCGATCGTAGCAGTTGCTCAAGTTA